GAAAGGAAAAGAACTGAACTGAAATTGATCTATTTTTTTATTAACGTACGAAATACCTATTTTTCACATTTATTTTTATTTATTTTATTTGCAGCTAAATCCAGAATTTAAAATGGAATTGTAAGTAGAAAAATTAGCTAATAAAAGTACAAAAATAGTATTGAAAGTGTTCAAAATTATTTTACAGAGAAGCAGCCGAGCCTGTAGAACCGCATACACGGTGGGGATCTTTTTTTGCTAACCACTGGAAGGGATGTGTTGTATTCCTAATGCCTCTGGTTTGCCTCCCCATTATATTAATGAACAATATTCCGGTAAGAAATCTCCAAATGACTGTGCCTTGTGTGACTTTTAATATGTTTATTTACCGTTTCAGGAGTACAGATGTATGTACATCCTTTTGATAATGGCTGTGTTTTGGGTCACAGAGGCATTGCCCTTATATGTTACATCAATGATACCAATTGTTGCATTTCCCACAATGGGAATAATGGTAAAAATACCGCATTTAAAAATACAGCATTTAAGTAGTATTAATAATAGATTTGATATTTTACAGGGATCGGAAGAGACATGTATGACCTACTTTAAGGATACATTAGTGATGTTCATGGGCGGCATTATGGTTGCCCTGGCAGTGGAATACAGTGGTCTGCACAAGCGTCTAGCACTGAGAGTTATTCAAATGGTGGGCTGCAGTCCCAGAAGGTTCGCATCTCTCTAATTGATGGTTATACAAATTGGACTAATTTCCTTTAACTTATTTTATAGACTACATTTCGGCTTGATTATGGTGACAATGTTCATATCCATGTGGATTTCCAATGCAGCCTGTACGGCTATGATGAGTCCGATTGTGCAGGCGGTGCTTGAGGAGCTCCAAGCGGTCAGTCTGAAAAAAATGGAGGAGGAAAAAAAATAAAACTATTTTATTTATTATCCAATTTGTCCAACAGCAAGGGGTCTGCAAAATTTATCATGAACCAGAATATCAAATGGTTGGTGGAAAGAACAGAAAAAAGAATGAGGACGAGTATGTATAGTAATAGCATAAATCTATTCAATTTTATATACTGTCTAATTTTACAGATTACCCTATCCAACAAAGGTTACCCAATGCTACTACCTAGGTATTGCATATGCATCGTCTCTGGGTGGTTGCGGCACCATAATTGGCACTGCAACAAATCTAACATTCAAGGGAATCTATGACACTGCTTTTCCCAATTCTACCGAGAAACTCGATTTCCCCACGTTTATGTTCTATTCGGTGCCATCAATGTTGGTTTATACAGTGCTTACGTATGTTTTCCTACAATGGCATTTTATGGGTCTGTGGCGGCCTAAGAGCAAGGAGGCACAAGAGGTACAGGTTGGTAAGGATAACGCACATGTGGCAAAGAAAGTCATTGATCAACGCTACAAAGAGCTGGGTCCCATGAGTATACATGAAATCCAAGTGATGATTCTATTCATTATCATGGTCTTCATGTACTTCACACGAAAGCCGGGTATCTTTACCGGATGGGCTGACTTGCTGCCCGACAAGTGAGTATTTCGATTGAGTGCTAAACATACCAGAGTAACTCTTTTCAAATGTTCACAATTTATACTGTCTTATTAACTAATTAGAATGAAAACAAGTAAGAAAGCTCTAGTCAAGATTGCCCGACTGAACCCTTCGAGCAACTGATATTTTAATAATTATTCGCACATGCACACACACACGCACATACACAGGCATGATCAAGAATAAATATACTTTATACCCTGATTTTCCATTTTCAATGCGTTCGGGGTATTAAAAAAGTCTAAATTTTGTATAGTCGATTTTATTCAACTCCCAGTCCTTATTTTTATACCCTGAACCCATTAAAATTTGGGATATACACACATTTTAACCTTTTGATCACATTCTGAAATTTTCATGCAGATAGTGCCACTACAAGAGAACTTATTCAACAAGTAAGTTCTCATAATATTGCCCAAACTGCAGCACAGTCCAAGCGCTGCTTACTGCGCAGTTAGCAGAACGCGTGCTTATGCATGCGCAGAATGCAGAATGATTAAAATATCAGCTTGGAGGGTTCAGGGTATCTCCTAGTCGAGCAGTCTCTTACTTGTTTTCTTTAGGTATGAATGGATTAATTATTGTCTATTTGCTGATATTACAAATTGAAGATAATGCCCTACATAGTTATTATAAGCATGTATAATAATGAGTTTTTATTATTTCGACTTAATTACTTAAAGCTTAAGTTGTTACAGAAAATCCCTTATACATATTAAATTTTAAACAAAATTATTATTTATATATATATATTAGAGAAAACTTATACATTAATATTTAATATTACATTATTAATTAACTTTGTATTGAATAATTTATATTTCTAATTACTGTTAGGGTTATCAAAAACTCGATGCCAACCATTTTTGTTGTGATCATGTGCTTCATGCTACCGGCGAACTATGCATTCCTACGATACTGCACACGTCGCGGGCCTGTGCCGACGTCGCCGACACCTTCACTGATCACCTGGAAGTTTATTCAGTCTAGGGTGCCATGGGGCCTGATCTTTCTGCTAGGTGGAGGCTTCGCCCTGGCAGCTGGCAGCAAGCAAAGCGGCATGGCAACATTGATTGGTAATTCGATGAGTGGCCTAAAGGTGCTCCCTAACGCAGCATTGCTATTGGTCGTCATTCTGGTGGCTGTATTTTTGACCGCCTTCAGCTCAAATGTGGCCGTTGCCAATATTCTCGTACCTGTGCTCAACGAAATGGTGCGTCCAAATGTCTATTAAAAATGTTAAATCAGCTATTATTCATCTTTTTCTATATCACAGTCACTGGCACTGAAGATACATCCTCTGTACCTGGTGCTTCCAGCAGGCCTCGCTTGCAGCATGGCCTTCCATTTGCCGGTGAGCACGCCACCAAATGCTTTGGTTGCTGGCTATGCGCATATTCGCAGCAAGGATATGGCGATAGCAGGTATTGGGCCGACGATCATCACCATCATTGTGCTATTCATTTTCTGTCAAACGTGGGCTATGGTCATCTACCCAAACTTGGATACATTCCCGGAATGGGCACAAATTGCCGCCGAGGAAGCAGCCAACAAGAGTCGCTTGCTAGCCGAGTTATCTGTCAATAAGGCGCACATGTTGGAGCTGGCAGCAAATGCGACGCGCCTATTGACAAACAATACTGAACTCTTAACAGATCTGACCACTGGTAGCTCAAATTTGGTGGGAGACCTGATTGCCAATAGCTCACAGCCATTAGCTCAATTAGCCGTCAATGGCACACGATTGTTAACTGATATTGCCTTAAATCAAACTCTCTAATTGGAGGTAACTAACTATTAGGTTGTCTTATCTAAAAGTGGTCATTAGCCCCACGAATAACTTCGCTGTATAAAATAACACATAAGTGCCTTTTACTAAATATTTGTACGATCTACAACACAATTAAGTAAAAAGTTAATAACAATAAAAACAACTGAAAACAAAGCCTATGAAAACAATTATACTTTGGAACGAATTTACAAAGCCCAAAAATGAAATTTCGAACTCATTAATTATAACTGTTCTTGTGTGACACTATTAGACTAAAACCTCCGGATAACTGAAAATTTTTATATATTATTTATAAAGATCGTGCAAAAGTTAACAGTAATTAGACATAATACGTCCTTTCAGCAACCAAGCGCATTTACTAAAAGCTTTTAAAGGTAAACCGATTTATGAAAAATTACATGTGTTAGTTAATAATTGCATTTAGCGAAAATACAATGTTATATATTTGTATACATATATATTTGTTGAAATAACAGGCATTGAATGTATTTTTATACTATATTTTAGGAACTAGACTGACGTATCGTGGTTTTGCAAATGTAATTTTCATGAAATTTAGTAGGAACACTTGAAATAATACTTTTAATCAATATATTGAATTCATACAGAATGGAATAAGTTTTTAAACTTCATATGTTAAAATTCAAATGATACAATTTGTATATCATTTCAAAATCAAATAAAAATTAAAATGGAAAAAAAAAAAAAACCCATTGCTCAAGTTAGGTTTTTATTTAACATTACGGGTGTTTGTACTACTTCGGTCTAAGGGGAAGAATTGGCAAATAATTAAAAAAATTTTGATAAATTGAATTAAACAAAATGTGTATTTCGTTTAAAAGTAATTGGACTACTTTGATAACCATAAAAATTTTCCATTATTATACCCTGAACCCATTTTCAATGGGAATTCCGGTATAATGAACCCATTTTCAATGGGAAATCAGGGTATAATAGGTTTCTTAAAAGTATGTAACAGGCAGCAGTCGTGACAAACCCCACAAAGTATATATATTGATTTTGATCATAATCTAAAAATCGATAACTACTCCCTATATTTTGTTATCGATTAAAAACCTCGAAAATCAGTTATTAAATTATATCTCTACATCTTTTTAGCTAGAGTCTCCGAATTTTAAATGTAGACTCATACCTATTTTATAGAATTTTGATTTTTGTTAACATTTACCCCACACCCTTATATAGACCCCCTCACCCCTAAATTTGTATTTCAAATAATAGAGACGTCCGGTGTGAGTGCTGTTGTAAATTTAAATTAGGTAAATTTACTGCTAGCTGGTTTACTTGATTATCTACCCTATGGTGGGAGACCGTTCCCCATAAATGAATGCCTTATGTCCAGACGGTCTTCAAGATGGTTTTATACAGTAAGCGTTTAATATTCACACTGAGCTTCAACTTTCGGCCAAGTAGTCAGGTGTTCTCCTCTGTCTTTTAAAGCTTGATTTTATTTAGTATATATAGTAGAGTAGTAGGCAACCGAGAAGGTGGGCATTGTTTTGATCCCTGGTTATTTATTTGCTTCTTGTTCTGTATCTAATAAAGAACATTAAACATAAGACTGTCTTACAACAAAATATTAGTTTTATTACGAATCGTTACAAATATAAATTTTTCTTTATTGCTAATTTTTACCATATAAAAACAAGGCACACGAGTGGGGAGGGGTAAATATTATTCAGAACCAAAAAAAATTTTCCGCAACCAAAGAACTGATAGTTGGATCAGTAGAAAGCTAGATTTAAAAAGCAAAACGCTGACCTATGCGCAAATTAAGTCAAACATCTAGAACTTCGAGGACTTAATTAGATTGAGGGCCTCGGTAAGCATGCGCCCGAAATCGGCGTGCACCAGCGTAAAGTTCTTAACTGCACGCTCTTGCAGGAACTGACTAGCGTTGCTTAAATTGTCGGCTATGTTCTGCACTAGACGTTTTTTAGCACAATTGTCGAGGACATGCACCCAAAAATCGGTGACCTGACCATAATTGTCCTCCGTGTCACCGCTGCTATAGCGATAAACGTCGCCGGTCACCGGGCAACAAGTAGACAAGGCACGAGCTCTTGCGCATTCTTGCGGCCCATTGAACGAATTTGGGAAATAGTTGGGAGCTCCATCCTGATTATCGGTAGCATTCATGAGGCCATCGCGTTGATAATTATTGACCTTAACGCGATATGGACAATTGACTGGTATTTGCAAATAGTTAGGTCCCAAGCGATGACGATGTGTATCGGAGTAAGAGAATAGACGGCCCTGCAACATCTTGTCCGGCGATGGCTCAATCCCAGGCACCAAATGCGCGGGGCTAAACGCAATTTGCTCTACCTCGGCAAAGTAGTTCTTCGGATTGCGATCTAGCACCATTTTTCCCACTGGTATCAATGGGTACTCCTTGTGAGACCAAACCTTGGTCACATCAAACGGATTGTACTTGAACTTCTTGGCCTCCTCGAAGGTCATCACCTGAATATAAAATGTCCAGCTGGGAAATTTGCAGGTCTTGATGCGATTGTACAAATCACGTATGCTATAGTCCGGGTCACTCGACGCTAGATCCGATGCGGTCTTCACATCCAAGTTCTTAATGCCTTGATCTGTCTTGAAGTGGAACTTTGCGTAAACAGGCTCACCCTTGGCATTGACCAACTTAAAGGTGTGGGATCCATAGCCATTCATATGGCAAAATCCGTCAGGTGTTCCGCGGTCACTGAACAGGAACGAAACCTGGTGGGTGGATTCAGGGCGCAGGGTCAGGAAGTCCCAAAACATATCGGCATCCTTCAAGTGCGTCTGCGGGTTCCGCTTCTGGGTATGTATGAAACTGGGAAATAGTATAGGATCGCGTATAAAGAAAATGGGCGTGTTGTTGCCCACTAGATCCCATATACCATCATCCGTATAAAATTTAACAGCAAATCCTCGAGGATCCCGTACCGTATCCGCAGACCCGCTTTCGCCGCCCACCGTTGAGAAACGAACGGCTACAGGGGTACGCTTTTTGACCTTCTCAAACATTTTGGCAGCGCAATACTTAGTGATGTCGTGAGTAACTTCAAAGTAACCAAATGCACCGCCGCCCTTGGCATGAACCACTCGCTCCGGAATGCGTTCGCGATCAAAGTGAGCCATTTCGTCTAGGAAATTGACATCTTGTAACAGAATCGGACCGCGAGGACCAACCGTTTGCGTTGCATCCTTAATGCCAATGGGTGCGCCACTGCCTGTAGTAACTACGCCTGCGGATTCCTACCAACAAAAGAAATATTATTTCTAGATTTTTATTTTAGATAAACATGTAATACAACGTCTTTCTCGACTTGTTTTGGTCCTTAATTTTATCTCGATTACCTAATTTTTACAATTTTATCATTACGATATTTGCTTAGAGAGTGTGCATGTCATTTAATGGACCTCTGAGCTAGCAATGCATCGCATATAGAAAAGCGTACTTTACCCAGGAATATATTAGCAAATGAATATAATATACTTAAACACGCTTCCATCGCAAATAGGTATGACTCTTTGTTCTGAATTAGGGTGCAGCAGTTGCCGTTCCCCGGAATAGTTTACCAGTAATTCCACACGTAGAGGCGCGCACATCGTATGTTTACTAATGGTGTCTTAAAGATTCAACGTTGACTAATAATAAAATGAAAATTACTTAACTGATGAAATTCATATCAAATTAAGTGAAATAAGTGAGGTGTTGTTCAATTATTTATTTTTTAATATATATATAAATACTCCATAGCGAGTGCAACTAACTAGTTAGCTAAAGAATACTATTTAAATTGTTACTATAAATGAATAATGTATCTACAGACTTTGAATCTAGGGCTCTTTAGTATAAATTAATAAATTAAGTGTTTTATCAATTCTAATCGTTCTCAAAGAAACATGAAAATATTACCGATAATTCAAAATTAAATTGACATAGACTATAAGAGAACAAATGAAAATATCGACACAAATATAAAGACATTCGCGGTATATAGAAAACAGGTATCGCCAGTTCACAGACAGTTGCTGAAACTAATAATTCGCATATATTATATATGCCATAGCTCTAAAAAGGTTTTTATTTTTATACCCTCAACCCATTGAAAATGGAAAATCAGGGTATAATGGTTTTGTCAAAAGTATGTAACAGGCAGGAGGCGTGGTAGATTCCACAAAGTATATATATTCTTGATCAGGGAGACGAGCTGAGTCTATTTGGCCCTGTCCGTCTGTCTGTCCGTCCGTCCGTGTGTATGAACGCGTCGATCTTAAAAGATATAAGAGCTAGAGACTTGAGGTCCTACATAGGTCCGTGTATATCACGCACATATCGAGTTTTTCTCTAAATATCGATAACTACTCGTGATATTGTATTATCGATTAAAACCGTATCGAAAGCTAGTTATTTGATTGCATCGCCTACACCTTTAGAGCTAGAGTTTCCAAATTTTAAATGTAGACTTATATGTATTTTATTTAATTTCGATTTTTGTTGTAATTTATCCCCCACCCCTTTATCCACCCTCTCACCCTCACTTTTGTAAAAGGCGTATTTCAAATACTAGAGACTTGTCCTTTGGCATATACACGCCAATGCGTGTTTAAGCTTGCATCCCTATGTTTTTCTGTGAGTGAGTGTGTGTGTTTCTTATGTAAGCAGAACGACTCGAGGAATTATTGTGTAATATCAATTCTTCGAAGGGTTCAGGGGATTTCCTAGTCGAGCAGTCTCGACTAGAGCTTTCTTACTTTTTTTCTTCTTATTCGCGGGCGTTTGCACTTTGAGTCAGAAATAAATTAATGTGGGGCCACTTGGGAGGGCGCTATTTGAAAGATAATAAGTAGCAAACAATAGGAGGTTCGTTATGTGTGCGTGTCTAAAGAGCAAATTGATGATAAGACCATCGATCGATAGTACAAAAATGCAAAGAACTGGAATTTATAATTGACATTTGAATACTTAAAAAAAAGAACGAAAAACAAGTTAATAAAACATTTACAGATTGCGTTGATGATGATGAAGTCTTAAAAGAAATGTACAGACAATATGTTTGCATGTATCAAAAATAATTAAAGCTACTCAAAAGAATTCCAATATATATATTTAAGTACATATATATTTCGGGCATTTCTGCAAACAAAGAAGTCAAAAGTGTTTGTTTCAGTCATCGTACAAATATACAAATAATGCCTGACAAAATGCAGTTTCTCGCTAGTCTCCATGAAAAGTCAGTCAAAAGCAGCAACAACAACACGAACACTTTTGAGGGTCGAAAGCTTTCGAAACATATTCTCACATATGTATGTGGTCGAAGCCGAGTGCCAAATGGATTGCATAACCAAATGCTGCAGCTAAGTGCTTTAATTTTGTTGTCTATTTGATTATTTGCAATCGCTATAAGGCAAACCTCAAACTCCTCTAATTTGTATTGAACTAGTTTGATCGGGTTCAACGCCTTTGTAAATGGTCACTATCTCTGTCTCTCTTTCTCTGCCTGCCACTCTCAAATGATAGCAACCAGTTTTATGCAATATCGAAGTGAAAACCTTGCTGGTTGCAACTCCTCGAAGGCCCCGGCTAAAAAGGTAGTTTAGAAATGCATTAAAAGTATGTATTTCCATGTGAGGTCACGCGCATTCAAGCATAAAACTGAAAATATCGCTGTTTCAAATTAATTAAATGATGAAATTGTTGCTTTGAAGAGATATGTATGTATATACAATGTATATGTATATTCATATCTGCATTGTCGTCTCAAATATAAATTGCGTATTGAAAATAGGACGCTTAGGTAATTGAGGAGCTATTTTATGAAAAAGTAGTTCCTACAAATTATATGCAAATATCTTTCACGATCTATCGATTATAAAATTTATTCTCTTACTTTGAAATATGTAGATATTTATATACATACATATATATATTTATATTATATTCCCGGCTTTTTGATTGGGAACAACTGGAGCTATGCAACTATACAACTATAGAATACATATATTTCTTTATATATACACATATAGCTGCAGATAAGCGTTATCAACGAATAAGCGATAAGATTAATTATAGATTATAAATAATGAAGGTTGTTGTTTTTATAAGTTTAATGCCTTTTTACTCTGAAGATGCAGAGAGCTATTTACACTACTTACAATAAAAGACAATTTACATGAGAAAATAAATATGAAATGAAAGATACAATTAAAGGTATATGCAATATTGCATGAGGTTAACGCAAAAATAAGTTTAATTAAACTGTAAACCCATACCCACCCATTTGTATAAGTAATGTGTGGCTGCTTTAGAAAGAGAGGAGTGAAAGAGTGAGCGAGAAACAGAGACGAGAGCTACGACAAAGGGAGATGAGAGCCTCGCATTGGGCACGAACAAAACAATGCATATATTCGAACTTTGGCTCTGCGAATACAATCTACTGCGAACTTCACAGCACGACAGAAAGTGTAGTACATAAGTTTTCTGTTTATCTTCAGAGACGCTTTATATTTACTAAGTTACCTTTTGGCAGTTCTTATAATCAATCAATTGATTTGAAGCAGCATCGCGTGTAGCCATTTTGATTTCCCTATTTATTTACTTTTAATAACCAAAAATTTTGAGTATACTTTAATCACTTAAAAGTTTCTCGCGTTGATTCTGATGTGCGGCTAATTTTGTTAACTAAAACACGTAGAACTTAGTGCTCATTGCTTTTATAGGCGGTTTGTCATTTACAGTGTTCTGTGTGGCCGTATGACTTTACCATTAAAATCTTAAGTATGTAACTTTTAAAGCGCGCACAAATTCAAAACTACTCCCTGATATCATTATCCTGGAGTATCATTATTACTACCAGTCTATATGATGAAATGGAACCAATTTTATAAAAATTCAGAACAGAGTTTAAAAAAAGGATACGGAACGTAACAGAAATGGTATTTGAGTTCATGCACTGACCAGTGTTGTTTGGTCAGTGGTTCATGTTAATTTTTGTGGTGGGTACCGATACACTATACTATCGATACTTTGACGATTATTTTCTTTGCTGAATTATTGCGTAGGTTGGCAGCTTACATTTAATGAGAAGATTGGCAGCCCTCCATATTTATAGTCACTTTCTCAGTCATTCATTCTTCGTACGTTCGTTAGCCTTCGTCTCTCTCGATTTTTGAAGTAGTGATTTCTTTTTATAAAAATCTTAAATATATACTTAGTATATACAGCATAAGCGATTATTTATGTACCTACACATAATAAATATAGTGAAAAAAAAATTAGCATAAATTATAAGCATTAAATTGCACTGCAGCTGCAATAAAAATTCAATGGCACTTTCGTAAAGTTTCTTTTTACGTAAAAATACTCATAAAAAACGGCGCGTGTGAAAATTTTCAACAACGACGTAGCAGCAAAAGCAGTCTTAATGCGTCTCTCCTCTACGTTTTTGTGCTGCAAAAGGAGAAGCTGAGCAACAACAACACCAACGAAATTCCCCACACACAAAGTAGGCCAACAACAACAAAAACAGCAAAGCAAGCAACAGCACAGCAAAAACAACAACAAAGTGTGTATGTGTATTATAATAAAACTGCGAGCGTGTGTGCGTGTAAAATACAAAAAAGAAGTATCAAAAAAGTAGAAAACTCACCGACCGACAATTTTGTAATTGTGTCAGCCGATTTGTGTTTGTGTGTGTATGAGTGTGTGTGCCGGTGTGCGTGTAAATGATTTAAATCATGTCTTAAAAAAATTTGATTTTTGACATTCAAACGTATTGTGCGTATATGCGAAAACAAAAAATTTGTATATATGTATGTTTACATATATATGTAAATATTGTTTAAATATAAGCATATATGTATATTTAAAAAACATATACACATGTGTGTATTTTGGGTTGCGTTCATATCGACAAGRCAAATTGTAAAATTGTCTTTGTTCTGTTTGCAAGACGTTTGCGGGCTGGCTTTAAGTATAGAAATAAGTTTTTTTGTCGACAAAATATGGTTGTCCGCTGCACAGTATCGCCAGCTTCGACTTCAGTTTATAACGGGATGAACCCATTAGCAATGTCTGCAGATGTTTGTGTCCACTGTCGCATTGTGTAGGTGCATGAGTGACAATGAGCGTTGGTTATCAACAACGAAATGAACTTTTTGAATATTTGCGTCGTTAATTGTAATATAAAAATGCCTTCAGCCGATGAAGATGTGTTTCTGTTGCTGGCTCGCTGATTGCCTGATAAGTGCATGCGAAATATAAATTTAGAAAATAATTGAAGAATTCTCTTACCCAGTTTTATATTATTCTTAATAGCATAGTGATACATAAGTGAAATAAATAAATAAATATAATTGAGGAGGCGAGCGGATATGAAGTTCTGCGACGTCGATCCTGACGCTGTAGGACAGGTTTATCAGGGCAAACATTTCACTTGACGACACTAAGCTACTAATACATATGAATTCACCATATTATTTGCTCAATGAGTGCGACTGTGAAACAACGATGTGTGCAACAATAACAACAAAGGCAAGCATCGCATCACTAGAAAGCAAAGTGAAATTGAATAAAGCAACAACAAAAACACGCAATACCAATTCAAAACCGTTATTCAACAATTTCAAGAAATAAGTGAAAGAAGGTAACAAATACTGGTTTTCAAAAACACGCATTAACATGTGTATGTGTATATGTATATGCATAATTTAATGTTGGAGGAAACAACAAAAAACAGAGAGGTGCTACAACTGAAAAGTTGCTGTGCGAGAGATTTGTATGTGTATTATTATCGTCGTATGTATGTGTGGAACAAGCAAATGAGTGTAGTCTGTGAACTGTGTGAGAAATAAACAAAGTGAAAAGCAATGCTAGAGTAGTAACAACAAAATAATAATAATAAGTGATATAAAGTTGAAGTCTTTTATAAATCTTTAATCTAGTCGAATCACCGAATGCTAATGTCACACACATACACACTATAGCAGCGGGAATAAAAGCAGCGACTATACCAAATAGTGGGCGTGTCAGCAGGACACAAGCAAAGACCCTCGCTGAATTATCAGAGATTTGAAACGAACAAAATTTTTATGGACTTTCACAAATTGGCACGTTGCTTTTCAATTTTCATAAGGTAAGTATGCATGCTTCTCGTTAAATATGTATGGAGGTTTTGCTAATTAATTAATTAATTAATATTCAATAGGCAGTGCCCCAAATGGTTTTTGGTTTATAGAAAAACTGACAATAAACTATAGAAAAGAGTCAGAAATTTTGACATAAACTCTAAAAGTAAAGCTAGGAGATTGAATTTGTGTGCAGTTGAGATAGGCTAAATCAGAATTTCGGAAGATTTATTTTAACGATTGGACCACGCCTTTACCCCGCCTCCTTGTCACCTATAAATTCAATCATGGGTGATTTAGACATAAGTTTTACTAATATTTAACAGGAAGTTTACAGCACATATTTTAAGATAAAAATAATTAAAGTAAGTCGTTATATAATACAAAAGTGTATGATAATACAGTTTATACCCTGCAAAGCTATAAAAAAAAAAAAGGAAAAGTAATTTTTTTACTCTGAACCCATTTTCCATAGGAAATCAGGGCGACGAGCTGAGTCGATATAGCCCTGTCCATCTGGCCGTCTGTATGAACGCTGAGATCTCAGAAGATATAAGAGCTAGAGAGCTGAACTCATCCGATATCTTTTTATCGGGAATAATCGATAAATTGTTAAATTGAATACAAAAATTTTGCAATTGAAAAATACGTAGTTTAAGTAAGAGAGACGTACGCTTTAGAATGTACACATATATTATGATAACGTTCTGAAAGTTTCATGAAGGTAATTTCATCCAATTCGTTATTCAATTTGTCTGGATCATCTTTATCTTCGGCTTCAACTTCAAAATTTTGGGTTTCGCTTGTTCGAGCTTCTGATGCGGTTTCTTCAAAAATACTAGCAGCTATCCATTTATGAATGAATGAAAACTATGTGCACAGTTAGGGACATGGAACTACCAGCTTCTTCGTAATTAGCTTCCTTAGGGCTCTTTTCAGTTTTTATATTTTTATATATAATATTTTGCTCTCAATCCACTGTGAACGAGTTGTTTTGAATCTTTAGAGATTCCGGCTACTTTTTGGTATATATCTTCTAATAAAATCAATAAATTGGACAAATTAAGAAAAAATAATGTTTTCTATATTGTTGCTTGACTATATGTTTATAAGTTTTGAACGCCGAAACTTAAATTTTAGTCCTATTTTTCGACGCTATTTTCCAGAAGAAGGCGTGGCAGACCCCATAAACTATATATATTGATTTCAGGGCGACGAGCTGAGTTGATTTAGCCCTGTCCGTATGTTTGAACGTGTCGATCTCAGAAGATATAAGAGCTAGTGACTTGAAATTTTTTTCCTACGTCCGTGTATACCATGCGCATATCGAGTTTTGCTTTAAATATCGATAACTTTTCCCGTAATGTTTTATCGATTAAAACATTATCGAAAATCAGTTTTGAAATTATATCTCCTTCATCTTTAAAGCTAGAGTCTCCACATTTTATATGTACACTTATATGCATTTCATACAATTTCGGTTTTTGTCAAAACCCCCTCACCCTCAAATTTGTAAAAGGCGTACTATGGACTTGTGCTTTGACAAATACATGCATATCTATGTTATATTCATAACCTAAAAGTTTCATGAAGATAGTCCAACCACAAGAAAAGTTATTAAACAATCAACTTCCCATAGTAAGCCACCACTGCAGCCAATGCGTGTTTAATTATTGTGAATAATTATTGAAATAATTGAATAATTATTGAAATATCAGTTGCTCGAAGGGTTCAGGGGATCTCGTAGTCGGGCAGTCTCGACTAGAGCTTTCTTACTTGTTTTCCCGCGCTATTTTTGCTTACAAATCAGTATGGGTAGTCGATAACATTTTTCAAAAATACTTTTTAGTTTAGTTAACTTGTTAATAATTAGAAAATAAAATATAAAAATCAATACAAAACAACAGTATGGGCTTACTACGGAAACTTAATTATTTAATCATTTTTCTTTGTAGATGGACTATCTTCATGAACGATTTAGATCGTAATTATAACATTGAAAGGCGTGCATTTGCAAAATCATAAGTCTTTAGTATATGAAATATCACTTTTACAAATATATGGGTTTGGATTGTCATAACATAAATCGAAACTCTATAAAGTATACATGAAACTGCATTAAAAATTTCTAAATCTGCTTCAAATATGTAGCAGATATAATTTTATTACTGATTTTCAATAATGTTTTAATCAATCACAAAATAACGGTTTTAAGATAAACTCGATATTCGCGCTGTATATACGGGCATTTAAAAAAAATTTCAGGTCTCTAGCTCTTATATCTTCTGGGATCAACGCGTTCATACATACGGACAGACAGACGAACAGTGCTTAATCAACTGAGCTCGTCGCCGTGATCAAGAATATATATATTAGTGCAATGTAATTAGATCTACAATTCAAATATATATAGACCTGGTTAAAATGTATAAGCTTTAGCTTGTATTAAACTCATCTTTAATTTTATATTTCTTTTCAAACCAAACAAATGGCGAATCATAAAGTAAACGGAAATAAAATTACTGTAAATAAAAATATTGCTATCTAATTTACAATTAATAAAG